GTGCTGCTCATAGGGGGTCATATGATTGTTGGGTTTTTCTCAGTATGCATTATTGTAGGATCTACCTTACAATATAAAGCGCCTTGAGGTGACTGTTGTTGTGATTTGGCGCCATATAAATAAATTGAATTGAACTATGCCTGGCCCATTTAGTATGAGCTAAAAACAGATTAGAAAAAAGCGGAGGCCTATCAGTTTTTTTCTTTTGTTTTTGGTGTGTCCCCTATGAAAATGAAAATGCATCTTTGTGGTGAAGCAGTAATCAGTGTTGCTTCACGAGAAGTTCCAAGGTTTAATCCTTTAGCCAGTGGAAGAGATGTCTGAGAGACCTGAGAGCACTGAACAACAACTTTGTTCTGACATTTAGCAAAGTCATCCTCAAAGTGTTTCCTGTGCCTACACTGGGTGGGCAACCGCTTTGTGTTGCTGAGTTATTCTGACTGCTACAGTTTTCATTGTCATTCCATAGGCTCCGTATGCCACAGCACTGCTATGTCCTGCACATAATATTCCTAATTTTAATAATGTAACTACATGTTGTTTACATCCAGCTCTGGGTACAAAGCCACTGCATATCTTTTGCTGACCACAATCTCTGTACCTCATCACCCAAACTTTCCCACTATTCATCTTTTCATAAGAAATAATATTAATGTGTGATTAGGCTGCATCGTGTACAATATAATCCTTTAGTATTGTAGTGGTGCTATGAACAGCTGGTGTCTGCACCAGCGCTCATATTAACCCCTCAGAATGTGAAACAGGTAAAGAGACTCAGAGCAGAGAGTTACTTCACATTCAGATTGGCACAGGAAATCTGTGAGGACGAAATCAGGCTGAGTGGCTTTTCACGGAGAGGTGATGAGGAAGAGACGCAGAAAATCAACTCCCACTAACATCAGCGAGTCACATTTACTCTGACAGCAGCCATACCCTTCATGCACACAAACGTAGATACTGTAGATCGATCTTTATTCACTTTTTTTTTTAAAAACTTGTTTTGGTGCTTGTCAGCCTGTGAAAAAGGGGACAGAGGCGGTTCAGTTCTTCCACCATAATATTCAACATTCTACTCTAAGACTGAGACATGCACATGAGTACTCCTGCTCTGTCCCATCAGCTCTCAGACAGAGCATCTTTCTGCAATATGTTTGTGACAAATGGCTTGTAAAGTCACATTAGCATCAGAAGTGGGGAAACGGAGCAATGCCCCTGCATCTGTCTGATTTTTCAATACATGAAGAGATAAATTAAGAAGCTTTTGGAAGTAAGAAGGATTTAATATCAGCTGGGATAGTAAAAGGTTGCATGTGCATCTGTTTGTGTATACGACAGAGTGTGCGAGGGGCCGTAGGGGCCTGCTAGGAAGCACACAGCTTTGCAATACCTCTTAGTAGGAGAGGATGAAGTAGGAGTGAGGGACCGCAGGAAGGAAGGAGTTAACGGCCCGTGAAGCCAGATGGATGGAGGAATGGAGGAGGAAGAAGACACACCAAGTGATGAAAATGGGAGGCATAACGAACGTTATAGGTGACAGAAAGAAATGAAGAAGTCAAGCCAGTCACTGCTCAGGAAATGATGAAGGAAAGAACAGAGTCACTGTTTCTGCTCTTTCATTTTCCCCTCTTCTCTTTTTGGTCTGAGATAAAGACGGTCCCATTTAAAATTCAATTACATTAAAATAAAAACCAATAAAAAAACCAAAACAAGTTACACTAGCATGGTTTCGCTTAAAGAAGAGCGTTACTGCAAATGAATATAAAGCTGCTCTAAGGTGTCGTATGATAAATGATTTGTTTCCTAATGGCAGAGGTCTCATCTAGGATCATAATTCTGCAATCCATAAAGTATGAAGGCTCACTGAACATGTTCATGTGAAGAAAATCAAATGAAACAAAAGTCATGGCCATCAGATTCACTTGATCTCAACCAGGCTAAAAACATTTTGGACTGAAAGAGCTCTCCACCACTATCTGGAGCCTTTTCCAACTGACACAAGGCAAGAGGCAAGGTATACCCTGGGCAGGTCACCAGTCCACCACATGGCTAACACATCTACAGCCAATTCCTTAGAAGTTTGTCTTTAGACTCTGGGAGGAAGTCTCTGGGAGTACCCAGAGCAAACTTGTCAGGCACGGGGAGAACACGCCCCACAGAAAAAGCCCAGGCCGGGTCGGACATAGGAACCCAGAAGCTTGTTGCTTTGAAGTGACAGGTCTAACCACACCATCACTGGACATTTTATAACTAATATGTGAAGCTTGTTAGTGAAATTTTGACTTGTTTCTGTTCTCTGTGTGAGCCTGTCCTTTTGTGAGCTCCATGTACATTTAGTTTGGAGGTAGTAACGTCAGTGCTTGTGGTGGAGGGTGTGAGGTGGTGGGGGTGGGGGGATCAACAGGCCATACAGCGTGGCACTGGTATCACTATGGTAACACAGGTCATAGCACCATCCTGCTACACTGTAAAATCCTAAAAAGTTAACAATAATGATTTTTTTAAGTTGAGTATTCTTAAACGTTACAGTTTAAGAATGCATATTGCAATCAACTAAGAAAACATAATCAGCTCTTTATACAAAGTAGTTACTGTATCTGGACAAAATGTGAGGAGCAGTGAAATAATGTGCCGCAGCATTCAAAAGTGCCAAGAGCCACATCTACGAATTCCTTTCAGAGAGGAGATTGAGAGATTAGAAAGGTGAAAAAGAAATACAAGGACGAGTGGTTCTTTAATTTTCCCAAATCAAGAGGCAAGGGTGGAAACAGGCGTGCAGACGACAAAGGTGAAGAAAGGGAGGAGAAGAGGGAAGAGAGAATTGGTGTTAAACAGAAAAAAAAGAGCGGAGGATTAAAGAGAAAGAACAATGAAAGGATGCTCAAAGGTAATCAGGGTAGACATTAAGAAGGAAGGTGGTGAGAGGGGAGCAAACAGAAGAAGGGGAGAACATGCAGAGCCTCCAGCTGGAGCCCCTCTGTGCTGCAGGAACACACCCTGAGGCTTACACACACACACACACACACAGCACACACACACACACAACACCAACACCCTTCACACACAACGCACACACACACAACAACACACAACACAACACACAGCACACAACAAGTATGTAGTCCAAGACAAGCAAAGGACATGAGGGTTCATAAACCCATGACCAGACATTCACACATTTGCACAGACACTCATCACATCATGTGGCCATTAAACCAGCGAGGGCCAGCTGATGAATCCGAATAAATCTCTTCCTAAATCTGCACACCGCTCTTCCTTTGTCCCGCCGTTTCTGTCCACATCTCTCCCCAGATTCCTGCCCTCCGTAGGCTCTTTCACTTCTTCGTTCCCTATTGCCTTTTTCTTTCTTGACTTTCCATCTATCTCTGCTCACCTCAGGCAGCTCTCTGCAGTGGCCCGAGCAATAAAGTCAGGGGAACCTGCTATCACAGCAAACCAATTACCCAGCACACACACACACACACACACACACACACACTAAAACAGTGTCCCTGGGAACCTGATCATCATCATCATCAAGTATGTCAGCCCATCATCAAACCACTTACACACACACATGCATGTGATCACATCCTGGAAAACTGAAAGCAAATCCAGCAAAAGATAAATAAAGAAGCAGATAACTGATTCCAAAGGTCCCCTCAGACCACAGGAACTTTCTTCTTCATAAGTATAAAATCTTGTAAAGAATCACACTGGAGGACGAGAACTGCAGTTCATAAAACTCTCTTTTAAATGTTGGGGGGGGGGGGGGGGGAGCACTAGCTCATACTTTAGCATAGGTCGAAAAAGGACAAACATTGTTGATCACCATGTCAAAATACTCGCTGTACAGACTGGTAAAATATTAGCCATGTAAATGCCCATCAGCCCTGACAATGGATCAAAACAAGACGAGTGACTGACAATGAATTGCTGAGCTTGTTTGCAACAGCGGAATTTAAACTTGTTATGATGCTCGTCAGCACAGTGGTGCAGTGGGTAGCGGTGTTAGCGATGGTTTCTCATTTGGCCTGCATGGGTTGCTCTGGGTCCTGCCACACAGTCTAAAACACACATGCTAGGCTTCTTAGTGATTCTAAATTGGTTGTCTCTGTGTTAGTGATGGCAGCTGGGATAAGCTCTGCCCTCTGCAACAGTGAATTGGTTAAGCAATTAAAAGAATGAAGATATAAACTTTCTTGCGTAATATGTCGCCTCAGCAATCCAACTGGTGCAAAAACACTCTTTAAAGCTTTATCAGAAAGCTACCCAGAATTATGTGTTTTTGTGATTTTTTTCAAGGAAAATAAAAACAAAATTCGGTTTCAGGTTTGAGCCCAACTCATGGACAGATGCATTTGCTTCAAGACAAAGGGCAAGAAAGGAACTGCTGAACCACTAACAGTCCCATTTCTCTCATTCATTGTGTAACATGTACAGTGCATTTATTTATTTGAATGCTACCTGGCCTGAGGTTTGCGCCAAGATTATTCGTGAAGAAAAGTAGGAACAGCCAAACTCAAGACTGAGTGTTGACCCAGTGAGACCCTTACAATATACATGGGATTCATTTTTTATTCACAGTAAATTAAAGGATATTTCCAGTACTGACTGGGTTTTTTGACTCTCCACTTGCTAGAAGAATATGCTAGTAGAGAATGAAAAGGGATATTAAGAACTTTCCTACCTTGAAGAAAGTAGACTCAAAATTCAAGTGGATGCTGTGATGAAAATTGGATGTGTTATTGAGCATAGCCAGTGCAATGTGCATGTGGAAACCGCTACACCATGGAGTCAACCGCCACATGTCAGATTGCATCACATTATAAATCTTCAACAATCTGTTATATTTGACTACGTTTGAAGTTACTACTGCATGACTCGTGTCAGCAGATTTATATGTTTCTATAAGAAAACCAAAGAGTCAATCCTTTGTTAAGAAAATACTCCACATACTGTACGCGCAGCCCTAGTTCTAATATGAAGAAAGAGTCACTCACCAGGGGGAGCCATAGATTCTGAAGCCTCGCACGGTGACCTCGGAGTCCTGCAGGTAGATGCAGTTGGTCAGCAGTGACTGGACGTTCTCATAATTCTCCGGCTTGAGCTTGGAGGCTGAAGGGAAGTAGTAGAAGTCCTGCTTGATGAGGTCTGCCATAAACTCCTGGTCAAAGGTCAGCTCATGATTTCCAGCAATTACTATCTTGATGTCGTAGGGGAGGGTACCTGAGAGGGTAAGTGGAGTAGTGAAAGTTATGGACAGGGAAGGGGGGAAAGAGAAAAGAAATGAAATTTGAATGCAAAAGTGGTAAGAAGGATGGAAAATGAAAGAAGGGAGAAAAGAATGAATGGGGAGTGTGATCAGGAGGCCCAATTCCATAAGGAAAAATAGATGGGGTGGTGGAGGATCATTTTCAAGGGTGAAGAAAGAAAGACAAAGAAATGACAAGCGCGGAGGAAGAGGAGATGTGTACATGAGGAAATAGATGAGAGAGTAGGAAAGAGAGAGAAGGGAAACAGAAACGGGAAGAAGATATCAGCACAAAGAGGGGAAGCACGGCAGATACCCGGGAAGGAGAAGAGAGCGACAACTTTAAACCCAGCTCAGATGGCTTGGCATTCACATGCAACAAGGCTTTCTAGTTGTTTTCCTCTATATTTCGAGTAAATCTGTACATCTGTCTTAGATTCCCTCCATCAGTCAAGGTCTCAACCCAGTGCACTGCTGTCTTCTGTTAATGGAAGCATAGCTGAATGCATCCGTCAGGGAATCTTTATCTGAAGGATGGATGAGGAGGATCATTGTTGGCTTTACAAAGCAGAATATTAAACATTTATAGACTACGGCAATAACTGCTGCATCTTTAGCCCCTTCGTTTCCATCATCCTCTTCTAATCAAAGTCTCCCTCCTTCAAGTCAACGTGCATTCTCTGCTCTATTTCAGCAGCCATAATTGGCTATTCAAAGCTTGGCACAGCAGGACGCGTGATCGATCTTAGCTCATCAAACCCAGCAGTAGCCGGGCCTTCACACTTCTACACAATGTTTTCAAAGCTCGGCTCGGGAAACAGAGAGCTAACACTGACAAACATCTGGGGGTCTGCTTTGTCAGGTAAAACGGCTGACGGAGGGTTCAATCACCGCAGCTTTTTTCTTTTTTTGTTGCTGGCAGGACGACGCGGCACGCAGCTGAGCACGCCGGTTTGTGTGTCAGCATGTGTGCGCTTGCGAGCGACTTTCCCATGCGTGTGCGAGTTTGCACGCATCTGTGCATGAACGTGTCATGTTAGTGAAAAGGAGTAATTAAACCGAGCTTTAGAAGAGGCTGACAGCCCAGTGACGGCTCTGTCATAACAGCCAATCACAGCCCAGTGACAGAAAAAGAAAACGAGTGGAAGAGGAAGGAGAGAGCGACAGAAATACTTTAGGAAGCCCAAAAATCCTTGAGTGTGAAGGAGGAATAATAACAAGATGAAAGCAGCTGTCAAAGAGTGCCCATCTCTGCAGTTTGGGTCTGGGCCGCCCCCTCTCCCTAACACAGCTCCAATTTGTTTGGCAGAAGGGCTTGTGTTTAGTTGTCAAGCAGACACCAAAAAAGGCCCATAAATGAGGGGCTGCACCTCAACAAAGGCACACGGACACAGATAATCAAAAGATGTTCCTTTTTGTTCCTTTTCCTCAGGGTTTGGCATCTGAGGCTTAGTCATCCCCAAATAAATCAATGTTGGAGGAACAATACGTTCTAAAATATCATCATATACCAATCATATACCGATTAAAGCTCTCGGGACCGCTGGGAATTCTGTGCTTTACTTTCAGAATTTCCATTTGTGCTCCAAAATGCATAAAATCCCTGCACATGACTGATGCAATAATTGGCATGTGTTTCGTGTGCCAACTGGCCTGTTTTTTAAAGTGCGATGCCAAAGCCTGCACCGCGGCTACTGAAGTCTAACATTTACCTCTCTATGCCACACGTTATTCTCACAAATTTCAAGTAAGTTAATGGGGGAAAAAGAAAAAAAGTCATAGTGAATTCATTCATTACACACAGATTATGGCCATAGTAACACTCATGTTACAGCTCATGTTTGTTATCAGCCATTCAGTGGACACCATTAACGTACACAGACTCCCCGTGATAAGGCACTTCTCTGATGGAGAGTGGTCTAGAAGGAAAGCCCCAGACTACAAGAGCATAGTTGCTGTTTATCAATAACCAGAATGAATATTGGATGGAAGGTGCATCTTCTGGCCGGCAAGAATAGTCTTCAAGAGGACACATATCACCCTGAGTCAAGAAACACAAATGTGTGGATTTCGTTATGTTAATAGAAAGACTTCTGTGAGACTGTGTTGACAGCCCGTAGCTGATGTCTTTGGTGACGGGGGCAATCGGAGTTCGCCTTGTAATCGGAAGGTTGCCGGTTCGAGCCCCGGCTTGGACAGTCTCGGTCGTTGTGTCCTTGGGCAAGACACTTCACCCGTTGCCTACTGGTGGTGGTCAGCGGGCCCGGTGGCGCCAGTGTCCGGCAGCCTCGCCTCTGTCAGTGCGCCCCAGGGTGGCTGTGGCTACAATGTAGCTGCCATCACCAGTGTGTGAATGGGTGGATGACTGGATATGTAAAGCGCTTTGGGGTCCTTAGGGACGAGTAAAGCGCTATATAAATACAGGCCATTTACCATTTTTACCATACTGCTGACCAGAGCAGAGCATTCATAGATTTGTTTTTTGCTAGCCTCTTTAAAAAATACACCAGGGGGCTGGGAATTTAATAAATCTAACAACAACTACAATACGGCTGCAAGAAGATAAGCTGATGGTCATACTAATGTTCACTGCTGTAAGAGAGAAGAAACAAAGACAGAATACAGAAGAATAAACACATAATGAAAGAATATTTGATGCTTGTGAAGACACAGAGAAACCGAACTATTCTGTTGTATTTATGTCCACCTGGGGAACAGAACTCAGCATTCTCTTTTCTCTTGGCCCTGTGGCTGTAATAAACTGTCCGACTGCCATCCTATGCTGGGCAGTTAGCTAACAGTGGCTTTCTAAGGCTACAAAATTATTTCCTTCTAATACTGGAAATTAGGCAGAAAACCAGCACAAAACTGTGGCCCAAGAAAACAAAAGTAAAACTGAATGATGCTCAGCAGCTTTCTTACATATAATCAATTTAAAAAAACAAGCAACAATGTTTCAGTTTTAGAACAATTTTAGTTTTTAACATATCAGGAAACATAAAAATGATCTAGTCCTTATAATGTTTAAAGATCAGGTAAGCTCAGATAAACACACGATTTGTTATAGTTTATTCAGCTAGAACTGAGCTAAAATGCAGAAGTGGTGTTTGAAAAGCTGGAAGAACCACATTTAACAGCAATAATGTAAAATAATAGTTTTCTGTTTATAAATCTCTCACATCGATTACATGCCAGAGATTTGTCAGCCCTCGATTATACACAGCTCTCTTATGGTCCACTCAGATCTGGACTTTGACTATGCCAAACTTTTGGGGGCGATCGTGGCTCAAGAGTTGGGAGTTCGCCTTGTAATCAGAAGGTTGCCGGTTCAAGCCCCGGCTTGGACAGTCTCGGTCGTTGTGTCCTTGGGCAAGACACTTCACCTGTTGCCTACTGGTGGTGGTCAGAGGGCCCGGTGGCGCCAGTGTCAGTGTGCCTCAGGGTGGCTGTGGCTACAACGTAGCTGCCATCACCTGTGTGTGTGAATGTGTGTGTGAATGGGTGGATGACTGGTTGTGTAAAGCGCTTTGGGGTCCGTAGGGTCTAGTAAAGCGCTATACAAATACAGACCCTTTTCCACCTGTGAATTATGTTTCCCGCTGTAAGATAATGATTTCAAATTGTTTAATAATGGCCTTATAACCCCTCCCAGACTGAGGGAGGGAGGGGTTGTAATCCCACTTTCCTCTGTGGCATTACAACAAACACCTGAATGCTCCAGACAGACTGCCAAAGCTAATGCTTTTATATTGATAATCAATTGATTAAGTAAGGATAAGCGGAAGCGAATGGATGGATGGATGAATTCAGAATATTTGATTAGCAGTACTCGGCTTTTACGTTCCATTCTAATACTTATGGAAGCAGTAATGTGTGCTTAGTTTTTCATGCACTGTTTCTGCATTTCAACTTTTTGTTAAACAAAATAATCACACAGTCAGGCATGTCATATTTTGTAGATCATTTATGGTTTTATTTACCTAATTTTAAGACCTGCTGAGGACCAAACAATTTTCATAGTACAGTATAGAGAAAAAAAACAAAACTGAACTGACCAGATGAGCTGAGCAAAAAGTATGATGAAATATGATTTGTTGTTTGAACTGGATAACACTGTAGGACTTATACAACTTGTCTATTTCACATCCAAAACACCACGCAAACGTAGAACCCGAGCAGCATAGACACCCTTGATGAGTCCATCACCTAACAAAGGTTTAGTGATGTGGATAATGCAACCTATCCCTCCCTCTGTGGAGCAGGATTTGCTGCACAGCGACCTAAAACCGCCACTGATATGTGTCAGTGCCAATCTTACAAAGTCACGCTGTAGTCAGTTACAGTACAGTATTTAATTAACCTTTTTACTGTGCACACAGACCCTTGGTCCCAGACTTTAGACGTCATGGCAGTGATTCCTCCTGAAACAGCAGAAATCCTCATCATGTTTATGCAGCTAATCTGTGCTAGACTGAATAAATCAAAGTAAAATCCAATGATGTTGCTGGAGCTCCCTTTAGGGCAGCCAGTTATACCATAAATTAGATGTGACTACAAGAATGATCACCCAGGTGAGCAGTATAATTTAGGCAAAATATTAATGTCATTTTATAACTTTTTAAAAGGTGTGCAACAGCTTTGCCCCATCTTCTTTCTAGGAAAATATTTAGAAATATAAAGAAATCTATATCATGAATTTAGCTGGCATAAACTATGCATGCATGCATCACGTTTGCCACATAAACATATTTGCTCAGTGGTTATTGATTAATGGTAAATGGCCTGTATTTATATAGCGCTTTACTAGTCCCTAAGGACCCCAAAGCGCTTTACATATCCAGTCATCCACCCATTCACACACACATTCACACACTGGTGATGGCAGCTACATTGTAGCCACAGCCACCCTGGGGTGCACTGACAGAGGCGAGGCTGCCGGACACTGGCGCCACCGGGCCCTCTGACCACCACCAGT